TACTAGTGTTGATTCTTCATGAAAAAAATGTCTTTGTGCTGGGATATAATAATCATTTTTATTAAAAAATACTTTAAATTTTGAATTGTTGGCTTCTTATTCCAGCAAAAATAATCTCCTTCCTTACTTAGTGATGCTATTATTTTGTTCTTTTAATCATGATACCTATAAATACAATTGTTGTAATGCATTTATTTGTTTTTTACGTTTCTTGCTATATCATAAATTCCATGAGCCCAAAACTTGATTTTACTCATTTTTTTTTCAAATTTTATCACATTTTTTCAACTAATAAAAATCCTGTATTAAATTGAACAAATGTTATTTTAATATATTTTAAATATTTTCTTCTGAGAAGCTATGCTATTGTTTAGTATTTTATAACAATTTTCAATAAAAATGTTTTCTGAAATATGTGCATACCTAAAATACAGAGCAGTAGTAGAGGTTGAAAGGATTTTCAATGGGAAGAATTTCTTTTGTGAATAAACTGAGTATAGAGGATTCAAGTTAAAGGGAATTCAAGTACTGTCATGTTAAGTCAGCAAAGGGAATAAATGTGGTAAGAAAATATTTTGAAATATTAATCACAGTTTTCCTCCGCAGTTTCTCATAACTTGTGTCAATCCCACATTTATTCATCTGTTTCTCTTTAATGTATGACCATTTTTATTGTTCTCTAAATTCTAAGTCTTTGGGGGATTATCTTGTTCTTTTCCTGGCTTCTTGACTCAATCAGCTATCATTAAACTTGTATTCAAGGGTTGTGAGACCAAATGTGAGATTTTAGTAAAATAGGTGTAGACGTCTGGAGATGCGGAAGACTCCAAGGCATTAAAATAGAATGAGCTGGGTCCATTTGCACCTGCCTTTGCCTGGCACCGCCTGCTCTCCTGCTCCACCATCCCACTGCGGTCCCACTCTTGTTGGGCCCCTTGGGGGCTGGCAGCACCTCCACAGCTGCCCACTACCAGTGCCACATCACTCATATCCACCATGTTCTGTGCCGCCCCCTGGTGGTCAGCACACAGCATAGTGAGTGGTCAAACTCCTGGTCCATTCCCCGTCGAACAATTTGTATATTAGGCTTTTATTATATAAGAAGATGGTAGCAATAATATATTTTCTATCATTACATGTAGGCAGTTAGCTAACAATTAATTATAAAAGGAAAAGAGAAGTGTCCACATTTATTGATATCCAAATCAGGTGCCTCAGATTTTATCAGTTAGATTACTAACAAATATTTTAGCATTATCCTAGCCAGATTGGAGGGACATAGTCTGGTTAGAAAACTGAATGCAATCATAACTGGCAGTGTTGCCCTGGCCCCGGCTCGGTTGGTTGGTTGGAGCACATGTGTCAAACACAAGGCCCACGGGCCAAATCCATCCCACCAGGCCTTGCAATGTGGCCCGCACCGCGCTGTCATCATTGCACTCCGCTGCGTTTCCATCACAATGACAGTTTATGACTGTTCAGTAAACCATTCGGCCCTCAATTTAGGCTGGATTTTAGATTTTGGCCCCTTCTCTGATTGAGTTCGACACCCCTAGGTTGGAGTGTTGCCCACACACAAGAAGGTGACAGTTCTATTTCCAATCAGGCCACGTACTTGGGTTGTGGGTTCCACTTTGGTCCAGGTATCTGTGAGAGGCAACTGATAGATGTTACTCTCTCTCATTGATGTTTCTCTGTCTCTCTTTCTCTCTTCCTCCCTCCCTTCCCCTCTCTAAAATATCGGGTCTAGTAATGATTAATGTCGTTTTTTAACATTCGTTTAAAATCTTGCTTGGCGTTGACTTGTATTGACATAACCTTCAAACACGTGGTATCTACAGACCATATGAAGTGCAATTAACAAGTTTTGCTTGAAAAAGTTTGTGTTTGGTTTGGTTTTTGTTGCAAAACTAGGGCTAAGAAGATGGCGCATGAAGAGCATATTCGGCACTGCATGCTTTATGAGTTCCAATTAGGAAGAAAAGCAAGTGAGGCTGCAAAAACCATCTGTAGTGCTCTTGGTCAAGATGCAGTTAGCACCAGAAAATGCCAGCGTTGGTTTGAGAAATTTCGCCAGGGAAATTTTTCGTTAGATGACAAGAGTGGTCAAGGCCGTGTGTCCAGTTTTGATCAAGAAGCTCTTCAAGCTCTTTTGGTGCAAAATCCTCAAATTACCCAACAAGAGCTTGCGACAACTTTCAATTGTTCACAAAAAACAATTTCCAATCAATTGCGTGCACTTGGCAAAGTCCAAAAGTTTGGAAAATGGGTTCCTCATGAGTTGACCGACAACAACCATAATCAAAGAGTCACAATTTGCAGTTTGCTCCTCTCTCGTCAAAACCGTTTGCCATTTTTAGAGAAAATTGTTACCGGAGATGAAGAATGGGTGCTGTATGTTAATTTGAAAAGGCGGCCTCAATGGTTGGACCAAAATGAGGCTCCGCAGCCCACGCCAAAACCTGACTTGCATGCGAAAAAAGTGATGTTGTGTGTTTGGTGGAATTTTAAAGGAATTCTTCATTATGAACTTTTACCATCTAACCAAACCATTACAAGTGCAGTGCATAGTGCTCAATTGGAAAGGTTAGCCCAAGCTTTAAGAGAAAAAGAACCCGCGCTGATTAATCGGAAGGGCGTAATTCTTCACCACGATAACGCACTACCGCATACTGCAAGAATCACTGCTGAAAAACTGCGCCAGTTGGAATGGGAAGTTCTCCCTCAACCTGCATATTCTCCTGATATTGCCCCTTCCGATTACCATTTGTTTCGTTCTTTGCAAAACTTTCTTCTTGGAAAAAAATTTAATAATGAAGAATGCCTCAAAAATGCATTGACTGAATTTTTTGCATCAAAATCACAAGAATTTTACAACAGAGGGATTAAAATGCTTCCTGAGCGTTGGGCACAAGTAGTAGAAATCAACGGCAACTATATTGTTGATTAAATTTTGTTGTATTGTTTAAATAAATTTGATTTAAAAAAGTATTAGAAAACGACATTAATTATTACTAGACCTAATAAATAATAATAATAATAATAATAATAATAATAATAATAATAAGAAGAAGAAGAAGAAGAAGAAGTAGAGAAAGAAATTAAGAACTAGAAGTGTCACTGATGAACAGAAAGCAATGCTGGCGCTTCAGGCTGGATCCCACTCCACAAGCACAGGGCAGGTAGAGGTGGCCATCTTGCACTGATGCCACATGGCCCCTGATACAAAATTTAAAATCAGAGCATCCTAAAGTTATTCTCAAGCCCAGCTTAAGTGGTGCTAGTAGAAATAGAAGAGAACATTAGACATTCAGGAGACCAGTGAGTGAGTGTGTGTGTGAGAGTGTGTGTGTGTGTGTGTGTGTTTGTGTGTGTTTGGAATTGTGAAGAAGACTGTATAGACACTTAGATACCCTGGTGCTAGTCCTGATTTCTTGTAGTTGGTGGTTTTACATGAGTCAAGTAATGGGTTTTCATTTCCTATTTTTTATACAGAAATGTGACTAAGTCACATCTCCATTCCCTTTTAGCTTTCAGACTCAGCATTTACATATTGATGCCTTGTTGTTTTGGCTCACAAAAGCTTTAAGATAAAAACAGCCTTCTCTTCTCTTATTTCTTATCATAAGGCTTTCTTTCTTGCCATTTCACTTTTGCTCAAATCTAACCTTAATACTATTTATTATTCTCATGGCAGATGTATTGATAATTCATTAATCAATCAGCTTTAGAACTTATATTTTTCTCAGTTCATTGAGTTATTTATTACAGATGTTCAATTTAAATCATTCCACTATAAGAGGTGATGTTTAACACAAGTACTCTGTTCTGATTTATCTCTTACAATTTAAGGAACACTGTATAGTGTAAAGGAAAACAAAATCCTGCTTCTGTCCTAATAGAGCATTTAGGCAAAGTTTCTTTTGTTTTATCACATGCTGTGTGATTTGGCCTGTGTTGAAAAGCCGGCCAGAAAATCTCAGGGGAGGATAATGTCTGTTGACAATAACTGATGCTGGCTTCCATGGAAATGCTAATTTAGTAGCAGTCACTGTCAATCAGCTGCCTTGCGTTTTTGTTCCAACACTCTAGATGTTATATGTAATGGCTGATAAAAGTCCCCACTCAGTAATTAGACTGTTTTTAAAGGAGAAGAAAAGGTTGTTAACAAAGACTAAGGTAAACAGGTTCTGAGCAGGAAAAATAATAATAAAGAGCTTAAATTAATTCAAACTAAGAAGGGAATTCAGAAAATTTTGTTGGTCTCGTTTTTTATGGAAAAGAGGAATGTAGGTTGAACAAATTCAGCCTATCATAAGATGTATAAAAATTGACTCTTTCTGATTTGTCTATATATGTACAATAGTTCTAAAATTAAAGGGTAATTGCATATCTAGTGAAATCATATGCATTTTTTTGTGTGTGTGTTGGCTGTTATATTTTTTTAATGTATCTTTATTGTTGAAAGTGTTACAAATGTCCTTTTTTCCCTCCAATTTACTCTCTCTACCCTCTGTCTGCCTCCCACCTTCAGGCCTTCACTGTGTCCATGGACTATGCATATATGTATATAAATTTTTTGGTTGATATTGTCCTGCCTTCCCTCCCTCACATATGCATTTTGATATAATAATTGTATGGAGTGTTAAAGATTTAGTTCTATGATACTTGAAAATCATCTGTAGAAATGGACTAGTCACTAGAATACAAATATATCCTAATTATCATTATTTTTAATTTAATCTAGTTTTATTTTTACATCACCATTTATCCCTCTATACACTCTTCTACCCCCTTCTATCCTACACAGTCACCACTCTGTTGTCCATGTCCATGAGTCCTTTCTCTCTCTCTCTCTCTCTCTCTCTCTCTCTCTCTCTCTCTCTCTCTCTCTCTCTCTTTCTCTCTCTCTCTTTTTCCATTTTTGTTCTGTCCTTCACAGCTTCCCCCAGTGCTGTCTAACCATTCTCTATCTATGAGTCTGTTTCTATTTTGCTTAGTAGTTCAGTTTGTTCATTAAATCCCACATGTGAATGACATCATATGGTACCTGTCTTTCTTTGATTGGCTTATTTCACTTAACATAATGTTCTCCAGGTCCATCCATGCTGTTGCAATGGGTAAATTTTCTAACTTTTAGAGTAGTATCTCATTGTGTAAATATACCACAGCTTTTTTCTTCACTCATCTACCACTAATGGACACTTGGAGTGCTTCCACATCCTGGCTATTGTAAATAATGCTGCAGTGAACATGGAGGTATGTGTATTCTTTCAAACTAGTGTTTCAGTTTTTTTGGATAAATTCCCAGAAGAAGAATCATTGGGTCATAAGGCACTTCCATTTTTAATTTTTTGAGGCTTTCCACCCTCTCTGCCCCAATTTGCATTCCCACCTACACAGCACAAGGGTTCCCTTTTCTCCACATCCTTGCCAACACTCATTTGTTGATGTGTTGATGATAGCCATTCTGACAGGTGTGAGTGATATCTCATTGTGGTTTTAATTTGATTCACTCTGATGATTAATGACATTGAACATTCTTTCATGTATCTAATGACCATTTGTATTTCCTCTTTGGAGAAGTGTCTCTTCAAGTACTTTGCCCATTTTATAATTAGGTTGTTTGTTGTTTTGGTGTTGAGCCTTACAAATTGTTTATACATTTTGGATATTAACCCCTTAGGTATATCATTGGTGAATATATTCTCCCATTCAGTGGTTTGTCTTTTTATCCTAATTATTTTTGAATGAACTAATTAAGGAATAAAACTTTGATAACAGGAGAAACCTTTAGAATATGACAATTTAAAAATGTAAAAAAAAAATTAAAAATATATTTCAAATACTTAAAAAATGACAACACAACAACCTTCCTAATCCAGGGACTTCAGAATCACATAAAATTGATTTGCAGCTAACAAACCATTTCTGAGCCCCTTAAAATACACAATAGTTTGGCCTGTTTTCAATATTAAATATAGTTTTAAAAATAAAGAAAATGTAATTTAAAGATTCATAAGTAGCAATGTTAGTGTAATGAAGTAGATTACTTGAAAATATTTCAAACTCATGAAGTTTAATGTGGAATTCCTAAGATCAAGTACCATTAAGGAATACCTAACACATCACAAGCTGATAAACTTACTACTTGTTATATATATATTGTGTGTATATATATATATATATATATATATATATATATATATATATATTTACTTAATTTGTAATGTGCCTTAAGGTGGTATAATTGACTGCACATAGTTAAAGTGTACAAGTTGATAAGTTTGATAAGTTTGATGTTTGCATATACTCATAAAACCTTTACCGGATAACTCCCACATCCCTTACACCCAAAGTTTCCACATGCCTAACTACTCTTTCCACTTCACCCTCCACCTGCTTCTTCCCAAACACCTGACATAATTTCCGTCACCATAGACTCCTTTATGATCCCTAGTAGTTTATACTGTGGGAGGGCATCTGGCTTAATATTTTGAGTTCCATCTAATATATATCTATATCACAGTTTATTTCTTTTAATATCTAGCTAGTATTCTATCGTATATCATATTTTACTTATTAATTTTTTGAGGGGCTAATTCTATTTGTGGATTAATTCCAGTTGTAGAGTATCTATCTATCTATCTATCTATCTATCTATCTATCTATCTATCTATATAAAAGCCAAGCAACCAAAACACCTGAATGACCAGAACATCTACTTGCTATGATGAAAACTGTGACCAGCCAACGAACCTAATCAGGAGGTGGCCCCTCCTCTCGCATTTCCCCAATTAGGGGTGGGAATGGGCAGCCAACCTTCCACATCCCCTCCCCCCAGCCAGCCCAACCTGATCCCACCTGTGAACCAATTCGTGCACCAAGACTCTAGTTTTATAAATAAAGTTGTTTATAATATGGAAGTCGACCGAACAGTGGAACAACCAGTAGCTATGACATGAACGCTCACCACCAGGGGGAAGATGCTCAATGCTGGAGCTTCTCCCTTGTGGTCAGTGCACTCCCTCAGGGGGAGCACCATTCAGCCAGAAGCTGGGTTCATGGCTTGCAAGTGCAGTGGTGGTGACGGGAGCTTCTCCCATCTCTGTGGCAGAGCTAAGGATCCCTCAGTGGACATCCCTTGACAGGTCGCAGACTGCGATAGGGCACAGGCCAGGCTGAAGGATCCCCCTATCCCCCCAGTACATGAATGTCATGCATTGGACCTATAGTTATAAATAAAGTTGCTGTGAAAATTCTTATACAAGTTTTCTACGCATTTGATACCTTTTTAAATAAAAAAAACTATGGATGGAATGGCTGTATTATATGGTAAGTGTATATTTATCTTTTATAAAGTTATAAAACTTTTCTAAAATGTTTATAACAGTTTGTATTCCCAAAAGATGTGTATAAATTCTGATTCCTTCAAATGTTTATCAGTACTTAGTGTGATCAGTCCTTTTAATTTTAACTATTATATAGATGTGTGATAATTCTATAATGAATAATAATTTTGTGCTATTTATATTTTCATTAATTTATTTTTTATATATACCTCTACTTTGGTGTCTGTTTAAATGATTTGTCTATTTTAAAAAGAATTTATTTTCTTTTTTCCTTCTAAGAAGATATAATTTTAAAAGGGAAGAGCAGAAATTCTGCTAAATATGATCCCTAATGAGGAAAAATAAGATTCCTTAACTGAGTTGGGCATCTAGAACCCAGACAGAAATGTTTTATCATTGGTTACCTTAATCTCTTAATGATATTGAAGTTTGGCAATATCATTGTCATATTGCTGTTGCTCTGATTAGATATACCTTATATGGGTCATCAATACCACTTCATACATTGAGTATTTTAGAATATTGAAAAAGTGAGACCTTAAATAAGCTTCTTAAATGGTTTTAAAAGAAATGTGAATCAGTGAAGCTGAGAAGAATAAATAGCAACAATTCTTGCTACTCTGCAGAACATTTTTTAAAAATTTTATTTTATTGATTTTTTACAGAGAGGAAGGGAGAGAAATAGAGAGCTAGAAATGTCTATGAGAGAGAAACATCAACCAGCTGTCTCTTGCACATTCTGGGGATGTGCCTGCAACCAAGGTACATGCCCTTGACCAGAATCGAACCCAGGACCTTTTTAGTCCACAGGCCAACGCTCTACCACTGAGCCAAACCGGTTTCGGCAGCAGAACATTCTTTATTTTTATTTTTTAGAACAATAAACACAATTATCAAAGCTAAAACAAAACCACACACACACACACACACACACACACACACACACACAAAGACCACCCAACAATTACCAGCCCAGCATATATGCAGCCATGATTTCTGGTCTTATCTAACTTGGTGCTAACAATATAATACTTCTGGCCCACAAAGTTATGAATAATACATGTAAAGATGAAACAAAGAAAACTGTAAGGAAAAAGAAAAACAGAATTGGGAATAACACTTGGTACTTACACATGCCCTTTGTCTATGAGATTGTGTTTATTAGTTTTTATATGTACCAGAGAGTAATCCCAAATATATATAATTATTTTTACAAAAGTGTTTATGTTTCCTGGTTAAGTATGACTTTAGAATTTAACAGAGTTGATAGCATTGTTTATTATTTTACTATATATTTCAAAGAATCCCTCAAAAAATAACATTAACTATCTCCATGTCTACTACGTAAATAGTAAATGAGCAGAATACTAAACAGGCAAACAATGTAAAAACAACTTACCTAGTCAGATTAGACAAATACTTATGTGCTTAGTCAGTTTAAAGATTTCATTCAGAGAAACAGCTGTGGAAATGTGCCCTGAAGAAGTCATTTTTTTATTGTCTAGGCAAAGAAAAGCTTATGATGATAAGACTAATTCAAATATCTAATTTACAATATTAATATTAGAATTTTAGAATATTTAACCCAGAACATAGCATTGGATCATCAATTTACAAAAGAAAGGTCAAGAAAGTTAAAATTAGTTACCTAAAAGCAAAATGTAAATAATGCATTCAGAGGAGCTGGAGGAGAGGTGCTCAGTCAGGTGGGCTATCACAGCTGCCGAAGGAAACTTCTGAAACTCCAGACCCCAGGCTGCACCTTCCACAGGTTCATTTTAGAAACCTCCCACTCCACTCCCACTATGTTCTCGAGATTTAGAAAGTAGTCCAATGGTTTTGACACCGTGCTATGGAGGTGCTATTATTCCAAAAGCATCTACCCATTGTCTACCATGTGCTGAGTGAGGGTTGGGATTTGGAGTAAGTTCAAGTAATGAGTGTTAAACTTCCTGTCCTGGAAGAACTCGGCCCACTGAAGGAAACCGAGAAGTAGACAAATGCTTGCAATTTAATACAGTAAGTGCTATGACCATGCACCAGGAGACTACTTAAACGAAATTGAGGAGGAGAAGGCTATTGCATGTTCTGGAAGGAGAGATACTGACCTGATTCTTGAAGGATGCTGGCAAGGGAAAGGCATTTAATAAAGCTGGAGGGGAAAATGAGCCTAAGAAAATGAACAGGCATCAGTAACCTAAAAACCATCTGTATCCTTCTGTGGAAACTGGCTTTTTTGTCTTAAAAAAATATAAGGGGATCAATTTAAAGTATCTCTGCAGGACATTAATAAAATCATTTTGTAACTTAAGAATATTGATCTGAATATATCACGGAAATCACATCAGAAAGGCTGGAAATAGAATTTAATCACAGGAAGCTTTTATTTGGCATAAAATGAACTACATTGCAAGGCCTTCTTTGTGTTCTCATTGTCGGTTGGTTATGGCGTTAATCATGTCTCTTTTCTTTATTTATTTAGGGAATTTCTGGATTCTTGACAAGTGGAAAATGAATATAAAGCCCAATTGTGGATCAATCTAGAGCACCAGTTTAATTTTAATTAATAGGTAAAATTTAAAGTCTTAGTAGAATTTCCAATTTATTTTTCCTTAGTCTGAGCTTTGGTGCCTTTCCAACTCTGACTTAGGTTACTCAATTTCTGATTAAGAAATTGGAACTTGGTGAATAGAGTCCTGGCTGAAGATACTGCTGAGCTGCTTCCATAGAGATGTGCTACAGAGTCCATGATGCAAGGTTAACACGGTTTTGAGGGC